ATTCGAGGAATGATTTACATCTGGTGCATAAAATTTTGAACAATTTTATAATCAAATCTCTTCTGAATTTATTCTTTTCTTTTTATATATCACAATTCTTTCATTTGCCTCTCATGACAAATACTTAATAGTTAATACGTACGGAGTTTATATAAATATTAAAAACCCATAAACAAATGAGTGAAAAGAAAAGCTAAAGTTCACAAATGAAATTATTACTGACAATCTTATAAATAAATAAAATATATATGATGGAGTATATGGCCCAGGAACCCACGGCCCATAGACTCCTACTTCTCCTACACAAGCCCATTAAAGCCCAGGAAGCAACTCAGGCCCAAATACAACGGCCCGAGCCTCAAAGTAGCCCCGAATACACACTGGGGTGCCTAAGGCCTCCTTGGCCGTAGGCTCCAAAACTCACAGGATAGCCTTCTCTGGCATAAGGAGTTGCTGGGAGAAAACGGGCGAAGACATGAGCCTTCGGCATTCTCATGCCCTCGGCACCAGGGGGAAGCCTTCGGCTGAACCAAGCCCTCGTCTGCACAAGGAGCCCTCGTCTGCACAAGGAGCCCTCGGCTGCACAAGGAGCCCTCGGCTACACAAGGAGCCCTCGGCTAACAAGGAGCCTTCGGCTACACAAGGAGCCCTCGGCTAACAAGGAGCCTTCGGCTACACAAGGAGCCTTCGGCTGAACAAGCTCAATCATCGAAGATTCCTTTTAGAGACAGCCAACCACCGCATTTAATGCCGCGTCGCATCCACCAACCGCATTCAATGCGGTTGACGTACCACTGCCGGTGCCACTAGGCTGATGTGACCCTTCGGCCGTTGGATTACTGACACGTGTCCTCTCATCGCATTTATTGCTGCTATAAATAGCAGCCCATTTCTCCTTGTAATGGACACAATCTACATCTCAACTCCACATCTCGAGTTCATTTAATAAAATCGACTCTCTCTCCTCCTATTTCGCTCTGACTTCTCTCTAGTTATTTCCGCAATAACCCCTCGGATAAGATACCCCCGGGTAGACTGTCCATCAATATACATTAATATTGGTCTACTACCATCAAATCAAGTAAAAATTACTTTAAAACTATAAAAGCTAGAAACGAAATTACTTCAAGTATTTAAAATAAAATTATTACTCACAATCTTATACATAAATTAAATATACTTATACATTACTACTAGTCTACTACCATCAAATTAAGAAAAAACTACTTCAAAAGTATAATAGCTACAAACGAAATTACTTCATTTATAGAATATAAATATCTCAATATTAACTCAATAATTAATCATATCTAAAATCCTTAGCTTGTTCCTTTTAAGATGCAGAGAGCCAAAGAAAATCACCACCCTTATTCCATTAATCCATTTCTATTCTTCTTAGTATGGTTTGGCACTTTGGCAGCTGGCTTAACTTCAGTAAGTCATTGCGCATTATGACTTGGAAATAGAAAGGGATTTGGCCATTGAGCATTTTGTTAATGGATGTTTCGGTGCTTGAGGTCTTGGAAATTGGGAGAATGGAGTTGTAGATTGCCAGGTCTTTCATAATACTAATACCTTTAATTTTTGAGGCCCTTGGAAAGGTGAGGCCCTAGGCAAATGTCTTGCCTAACTGGGAACGCAGTCTAATGATTTTCTGAAAAATACTGCGCAGTTTAACTGCGCATTTATCTTCAAAAATTCATTTGACTTTCTTTCGAATTGAATTTTTAGTTGAAATTTGGTATGGATAGACTAGACTTAATGAAGAAGATGCTCAAAAATGTTCATGAAAAATTCCACCTCGAATCTCCCCAAATGGAGACGTCCGGGCAGAACCTCCTATATAAGGGTTTATTTGCATTTTTTTTGTTAGTTCGAGGGCTTATTTGCCTCTTTTCCCTATAATAAAATTAACAAAAATGTAATACATCAGCACAAATTATAGTTACTACATACTACTTGATTCATTTCTATAACATGAGTAAATCAATCCTATGGATTTTCATATGTTCAAAATGTTGCATAATAACTTCATATTGGGTAAACACACGGCCACCAACCTCTTGTATTACGAGGTCATATGACTCGTGCAATTTTCTACATGCTTATAATTCAAAAACTCAACCTAATAATATCACTTTCTATTATACAATTAAAATGTATGTGTGATATTTTACAAGTAAACGAGTAGCTCATTTCACTATTTGTATATAAGATTACTTCGCTCTACCTCACTCGGTCACACACCCTTATGAAACGCCTTTTGGATTATCTCATATCAGTATATCACCCTCAAGAATCGTCTTTACTAGCTCACACTCATCAAGAGACATCCTTGGATCTTCTTCTCTCACAAGAAGACTCACACTCTTTTCCCTCACGAAGATTTTCACTCACTTGAGTGCTCTTGTCAAGGTTCTCATATAAATGAGGAATCTGACCCCTATTTATACTAATCTCATCAAAGCTTCTCAAAAAGTTTATATACACCACTACATCTCTAGAGAGCTTCACAATACTTTAGAATGTTTTAGAGTCATCCACACAATCACTACTACAAAAAATATTTTTTGAGTCGCCTATAAACTCCCTTTTATGCATCGCTTTAGAGGCGATGCAAAAGTCACCGATGCATAAGGTAACAACTAACACGTCTACTACTTTTTAGGCGATGCAATAACTAACTTTACACCTCGCTTATTTGAATGAGGCGACTCTAAAAGTATTTTTTTTGCATTTACTATATACATCAGTTTTAAAGTGTAGGCAACTCATACAGTTTTTTTCATAATTAAATAAAACTGATTTTTTTTTGTTTAAAATGAATTCGCTTATTTGAATGAGGCGACTCTAAAAGTATTTTTTTTGCATTTACTATATACATCAGTTTTAAAGTGTAGGCAACTCATACAGTTTTTTTCATAATTAAATAAAACTGATTTTTTTTTTGTTTAAAATGAATTGAAATGGAGGGGAGCTACTGGCCTAGCCGGTAAAATACCTCCAGGGGCTCCAGCGCTCCACAGAATGTAAAATACTACAAAATAGACTATGTAAAGCTATACCTTGACTAATAACCTGGAAATTCAGTCATCACTCTAGTCTCAAATCATAAAGGTTTACATAAATCATCACAAATGAAGCATGTAATATACAAGATCTTAGAAATAGTCACAAGGTTACTAAAGTAATGTACATAAGCCTAAGAGTATTGTAATTATACTACACACATTGATTACCAAAGTATCTAGGTAGCCCAAGCTTCTCTAATAACATCTATAGGAAGAAGCTGCATGAACTTTGCATCCTTGAAACCTAACACGAAACCTGACTCAGTGACATCCCAAATCTTTACAACAGAATCCAATGTCCCTATTCCTACTATTAGACCATCAAGATGAAATGTTGCATATGTATAGCTCTATGTTCCTGAAACATTTGAAGCCTGCACGAGCTTCTACAATTGCAAAATCTGAAATGACCAGATGATCAATAGTTCATTGCAAAGAGGAAAGGAGAAGTAGTAGTGATCCTTTGTCCCAAGTTTTCTAAGAATTTTTATTAAAAAAAAGTTTTCTCAGAACTTAGTTAATGTCCTTGTCATGACATTTTCACTGTTTTCTAACAACCGCCTTTGTCTCACAGTTCCGTTTGAAAAAATCGGTGATCCTGTTCAACCAGAGACTATAGACTTGTCTAGTTAAAGGCTCCTACATGGTTTTTAGTCAACCTATAACGTTCTTGGTTTGAAGGACATAGAAATCCAATCTCAATTTGATAATGTTTGGCAGTACCTAGCTACAGAGGGCTTCATTGTCAATCTTTGTAGATAAACAATTGAGAGCATCAATAGATTGATGGTTTACATTAAGTTTTCTACCTTCTTGATACTGCCTGGGAAGTCCCCCCTTCTCCTCATCTCAACACATCGTTTATCAACTCATCAGCACCTTTATGATATAACCGAGGAATGACCGCTTTCGTGCATAGATCAAGTAAGCAGTTTAAGTTAGGAGGTCTATAAAGTCTTGTTCAGAGTGTTGTGGAAGATAAAAGCAACTTATAAACCACTACTCCATGAACTCTCCAAAAAACCACACAAAAAACTAAGATAATATCAAACCTCAGGATTCTCAAAGTGCAAAGAAACTATGCGCTTTGTTAGGTGTCTGGCTCATCAGCTTTGGTTGACAGTCAGCGGCGCAACCGGGGGGCGAGACGTTTCCGGCGCCACCTTTCGCCGGAGTCGTTAAGGTATCTATGGGTAATTTTTACCTTCTCAGTCAACCGGCGCCCCTGTCTTTTGCTTGCTGATATGAAGTACGAAATAACTCAGAAAATCATTTAGTACGAAATAACTCATACATCGTTTGATGAAGTTGAAAAAGGGAAAAAGTAATACGGAGTAGTGAAATGACGGGCAGTTGGTTAATAAACGACATTCCATTTTCTCGACTTACAACCTTGCTCCTTATTTTGACCGTTCAATTCACTCAGCAGCTCAGCCCAAAAATCGAAGAGGCCAGGAGGAGGAATTGAGGAGGACTGATGATTTGAAATTCAGCCGCCGCCCTCCGGTTTCGTGCTGGACCGCTGACCATCTCTGGAAGCAGGAAAATAGAAGACATGGATGCTCGCTGCTGCGCATTTTGGTGAAGAGTTGAAGACTAAGGGGGCGTTTGTTTAGGTGTGATTTAAACACTTTGCATGCAAAGTTTAGGGAAGTAAACTGTTTACACTGTTTGGTTTAATTTTTTAATGTAATCTGTATGACACTTTTTTTAATCATTTTACACTGTATCATATAATCTATTTTACGTGGGGGAGGGTGGTAAAATGGTTTACACCGTATTATAAAAACACGCTCGTCTGATGTTGACGAGTCTAGCCCTACTCTCTTTGGCGGCAAAAATAAAAAAGATGGCGGTAATTCCATCTTTCGAGCAAGTATAAGTAGAAGAGATCTGCTCAGCTGCTCTCACAAACTCATCTTTCCGAAGCAAGCATTAGCTGGTCTCCTCTCACTCAAGCCAGGTAAAAAAATTAGTCTTCTTATATTTTTAGCCGCGTTTATTTGGAATCAAACTTTTGTTGACCTAATGATTTAATATGCACACGGTTGGTTGAAATTCCTTGCATCTAGATTTGGCTTCGTTTTTAGATTTGGCTTCATCGATCGTTTTTAGCCGTTTTTAGATGCTTTGAACTCAAAATTGATGAATTCAAAGCATTTGAGTTTTAATATGTTCACATACAATTTTTAGATCAGTCCTCTATCTAAATTTGGCTTCGTTTTTATAATTCTTATTACAATTACAACTTGCAATTTCTCTCGTATGTTTGGAACTGTCATAAAAATTGAAGATCTGGGGTTCTAAAGTCAGTTTTGAACTTTTGATATTAGAATCTTTTCATCTATATAAATTAATCATTTTTTCAATTGATCATTTGGGTATAGTTATGATTTTATATAATTTGCTTTTAGTAAAAGTTTAGCCGACTTGAGTTTTTACTTTTTAGTAGACTTTTGTATTGCTTTTATGATGGCTTTTACTAAATTAATTGTAATATTTCTACTCTTCTGTTTTTTATTCCTTCAATCAAACTGCTGTTACTAGCACCATTGATAATTTATTTTTACAAAAACACTTGCATTACTCTACAATTCAATTCAAAGCATTTGAGTTCCATGAAAACTAATCATAATGGGTTTACTTACATGATATATAAGGTTTATTTTCTGAATATTATAACTTATATCATGATGAATTCAAAGCATTTGAGTTCCATGAAAACTAATCATAATGGGTTTACTTACATGATATATAAGGTTTATTTTCTGAATATTATAACTTATATCATGAAAGTTATAGTCTGATTTACTTTCTCTCGTTAGTGTGGAAAATGGACAGCCCTACGCAGGAGGAATTAACAATGTACATGGCGGCTTATTCTGTCATGTTACATTTTAAAAACATACTACTTCTGTTAGTTGCAATATTGGAGTACTATGCACCCAATTTTGTTCTAAGAAAGAGGAAGAGAAGTCAAAAAGGAAATGCTTACCAGAGATACACAATTAGATGTCTAAATATTAGAAGTATGATTTGGGATGATGATATAGAATGTGTGGATAACATTAGGATGGATAGGAGAGCATTTTACAAGATCTGTAATATGGTTGAAAGCATTGGTTTGTTGTGGTCAACAAAGAACACGTCTATTGAAGAAATGCTTGCTTCATTTCTCTATATTTTGGCTCACAATACTAAAAATAGAGTAGCCAAGAGAGAATTTGTGCGCAGCGGTGAAACAATTAGCAGACACTTCAATAGTGTCTTACTTGCTATCTTGAGATTACACGAAGTTTTGCTTAAGAAGCCTGAACCAGTACTTCAAAACTGCAGAGCACACCCATGGAAGTGGTTTAAGGTAATAAACTGTATATAATTTCCTTAAAACTAACTCAAATATGAATACAAGTTATAAGTTAATTACTAACAAAATGTTTGTTTAATTGTAAAAATATAGAACTGTTTAGGTGCATTAGATGGAACATATATTAAGTTAAATGTTGCAGAGCAAGACAAACCCAAATATAGAACAAGAAAAGGTGATTTGGCCACAAATGTATTGGGAGTTTGCTCTCAAGATTTAAATTTTATTTACATACTACCTGGTTGGGAAGGGTCCGCTGCTGATGCAAGGGTTTTAAGAAGTGCAGTTTCCAGATCCAATGGTTTTCTAGTTCCTCAAGGTATTACTTGTGAGAAGTAAATAATACTTGATGTCTCTTAGTTATATTTTCAAATCAAGATAACTTCTAACCATAAGATATTACTCTAGGTTACTACTATCTTTGTGATGCTGGATACAGTAATGCAGATGGTTTCTTGGCTCCGTATAGAGGCCAGCGCTACCACTTAAAAGAATGGAGTCAAAACAATCAACCTAGAACAAAAGAGGAAATGTTTAACTACAAACATTCTAGCGCTCGTAATGTCATTGAGAGATCATTCGGTTTACTTAAAATGAGATGGGCGATTCTTCGTGAAAGATCTTGGTATCCTATCAAGACGCATTGTAGAGTGATAACGGCTTGTGCTTTACTGCACAATCATATAAGAAGGGAGATGCGAAGGGATCCACTTGAGGATAAGGTGCCCGAGGATTATGTTGATCCTGACACGTTGTTAAATGTCCCAAACATACAGGATATCGAACCCTCCGTTGCGTGGACTGCATATCATTTAGAGATAATTTAGCACAAGAAATCTGGAACGAGTGCCGTAGGAATTAAGCTTGAACTTATTGGTTTTATGCATTGTTATTATTTTGTTACTAGTTATTTATCTGTAATGGACATGCTCATAATATTCAGTGAATTTGAGATCTAACGTTTTTATTACCATTTCAATAGTTGTGTTTGGCATTTGATTATATTTTCCAAATCTATTGCCAAGTTAAACAACCTATTATACCCATTTTTTATATACTGTCAATGATACACATGGTACGATCATGCAGTTTGTGTTGTCCATGTTGATTCTCTTAATTATTTGTCCATAAAAGGTAGGCACTTTACCATGGAAGATTGTACTGTTATCTCAAGTACAAAGGTGAGCAAGCGTAGCAATCATCAATGGTCTCCTCATGAGGACAAAATTCTTATTGATGGCTGCCTAGAATTCATTAACCAAGGGTGGAAAGCTGAAAATGGTTTCAAAACGGGATTTTATCAACAATTGCAGAAATGGATGACTGCAAAAATCCCTGGTTGTCATATTACGGGAGATCCACATATAAAGAATAGGTTAAGACACTTGAAAACACAATACAAAGAATTTTCAATGATGAGAGATGCTTTGGGTTTTGGTTGGAATGAAGAAAGGAAAATGGTGACTTGTGATGATGAGGTTTGGACATCATGGATCAAGGTAATATCATTTTGCTGTCCTTAACTGATTGGTATTATATTTTGCGTGTAAGATTTTACTCTTTTTGTATTACTGTTATTAATATAATTGTTGCAGAGCCATAAAGATGCTACTCATTTGAGATATAAATCCTTCCCTTATTTTGATGAGCTAGCAATGATATTCGGTAATGAATGGGCATCTGGGGATAAGTGTGAGTCTCCTGCTGAAATGGTGGCAGCTTTAGGAAAGGAAAGTGATCCTTTGACTGGAGGGTCCATGTCGAAAAAGGCTGTTCAAGATCAGGGGCGGATGCACCCTTATAACGATGGGGGCCTTGCCCCCAATAACATTTGACCTTTTTGTTTATTTTCTTTTGCTTTTTTTCAATTTATCACTTGTGACCCCCAACAAAAAAATAAGAGTGCCCCCATTAAATACTCCCCAATCATTTTGAAATGGAAAAGCTACGGACTTTGCTATATGTCCATGAAATTTACTTTGTATTTAATTAAGTAGGAGAATATTCTCTAAATAAGATTTAAAAAATCTCAAATAAGAGTGATTATTTTCTTCCTAAAATAAGACCTATGCATTCATATTTAGAATTTTTATTATTATTATTTAATTCTTCTAATTGTACTAGATAAATCATTTGTTAGGAAGATACTCCGTAACATATTTAATTCTATTTTAGATTTTTTTTTTTATATTTTAGTCTTATTTGAACAATTTCTTTTTTATGAATGTTATAACTTGCATGATTTTCATCTCTTAAAATTAATTTATATGTTGTCATTTCAATCTTGTATATCTTTTAGAGCGCGTTGGTAAACCTGTCTTTCGGTTTATCAGTCTTAAAGTCAACATTTTTCATCAAGAACATAAATTTTGATTTTGCACGCTAAGTTTTAAGGAGTATAATACTCCGTAATAAAAATACATAGGGTTGATGTTACCTTTTCTGGCTGGATTGACTAAAGTTATTGTAGAGGACCATTTTACTTATTTTTTTCATATGATTTTTATTTATTTATTTTATTAATAATATGTATTTTAATTTTTTCCATAATTTAATTGAATTAGTCTGTTCAACTACTTCAGCCAGAACTTCACAAATCTTAACAAAATTAGTCAATTTAAGTATTATCAAACAGGCTCTTAGTGAATATGATGCCCCCAACAACTATATTTTCTAGATCCGCCCCTGTTCAAGATGACTTTTTTGGTGTGGCTGTGGATCTTGAAAGTATGAATGATCATATTTTTTCTACGCCTGACATCAACAAAAACAAGAAACGGGCTGCTAGTGTTTCAATCAAGGAGGAATTTAGTGGAACAAAAAAATCCAAGAAGATTGGTTCTTTTGATAAACATGCTGAAGACTTTCAACAAAAAATGGAAAGAATTATGGAATTATGTGCTACTTCAAACAAACAGTTTGAGAAGATGTCAACTTTCTTTGATTGTTTTAATGCAGCTGATGATAACAAGCCACATATTTTAGAGATGATAATGAATTTACCAAATTTAAGCAAGGAGAACGCGATTCGAGCATTTGGAATCATATCAGCTAGTAAAGGGAAAACAGATTCGTTTTTATTGATGCCAGATGAAGAGGCCAAACTGATTTACATTAGTGCTGTTCTAAATGGTGAAATATGATTACAGCATGTTCTGTAATTATGTTTTTCAATTTTGTCTAGGATTTGTTTAATTTCTAAGCAATTTCATATTTGGTTGAATAAAGCAGCGGACTGCTATTTGAACTTTTATAAATTTAATGCTACCCACTTTCTGCTTTTTGATTTTATTAGTAGCTTTCATGTTTTTCTTTGAATTATGCATTTCATTTATAAAATTAAGATCACTTAAATTTCTAGGCATGAATTACTGCTACCCACGGTCTGCTATCGTTTGGAATCTGCTTTTGCAATTCTTAAACAAAAGTAGCATGCCAATGATTTGTTCAGGTTACCTTGTAAATGGTGGTGGATGACACAATGTTGTTTTCTCATTTGCTTCAGAAGTCACAAGGTTGGCATGCGTAGCATGTTTTGTATAATAAGGGCTCTTTAGACATTTGAATTATACATTGCATGCAAAGTTATATTTTTCAACCAAACAATGTAAAGGCTTTCGATGTAATTTAAAATTAAAATATACACCTAACCAAACAATGTATTCATATTTCGCACGCGAAGTGATTACTTCCCTACATTTTACATGCAATCAATTCGCATGCAAAGTTTTAATGTGTAAAGAAACAAACGCCCCCTAAAGTCGTTTGTGAGAAGGTAATGTTATCTTTTCTTCTTTTATTTAATATATTTTAATATTTGTATGTGTGAATTGTTTAGTAATTTGTTATAAAATTACTCCGTATGAATTTGTTTAGTAATTTGTTAGGTTAATTACGTTAAAATTTCTAATAACGAGTGAACAGTCTTCAAAAACCTCTACCCAAAAAAATAAAAGGTCGAAATTATCTCTTGTATAATTCAATTCTGATCCATAAGGTGGTTGCTTATCAAGGTTTACGTAAATTTATTTGTGATTTTAATTCTTTGAGTAGAGAATGATTCTGATCATATCCGTTTCGAGTACTAAAGATGTTTTTTAATTGGATTGAAATTTTCTGGTCTAGTCTGGTCTAGTAGATGTTTGGTCTGGTCTAGTCTAGTCTGAACAGGTCGGGTCTGGACTTAAAAATAGTCTAAGTAAAAACATCCTTATTAAATAGGGATTTTTGAGTAGTTTCGATGCTTCATCCTGTTACTCACCACCCCTTCAAAAAGTTCTAGTTCCGCCACTAGACACAAAAAGGGAAATCCTCTCTGTCTACCATATTTAGCAAAATCTTCTGCACATTTATAATTTGGGGTTCGATTCTTTTCTTTTTGGGGGTGTTTGGTTTGCAGCCTATCAGCTAATTTTTGGCTGATTTGACTAATATTTGGCTTTTTGACCAAATTAATCAGCTAATAAGGTGTTTGGTTAGATGACATTTTCATTTGACTTTTTATTCCAAACAGCCAAATTTTCAAAAGCTATAAAACCTTGCATTTTACGAGTAGCCGTTTCTCATCTTTCCATGGGTATGTTTGGCAAATGGCTGTTAGCTGTTGTTGTTAGCTGGTTGTGTCAGCTGTTTCCTAACAGCTAGTTGTGTTAGCTGTTTTGACCGGCTGGTTATGTTAGCTGATTATAGATAATTGTTTGGTAAAATTGGTTGTTTCGAAATGGCTGATAGAGTGTAAATTGAACCAGCCGAATGAATAAGCTGCCCCCCTTAGCTTCTTCAACAATCCATTTTTTCAGCTTTTCAAACTCAACAAGCTAATTTTAAAAGCCATTTACCAAACATCATTATTAGCTTCTTTGACCAATCAAACAGCTGAAATGGGTCAAACAAGCTAAAAGCCGGCTGATAAGCCATTTGCCAAACATACCCATGTATTCCTTTATTACCCACTGTCCACATTTCCTTCTTTTCCGTATCTGCTCCGTTCCACACTCCACTGAGAAAAATAAAAACAGCAAAAGCAACAATGAAGAGAAAAACAATGTAACAATGAAGACAACAACTCAACAAGTGTCCATGAGATATTTTTTCTTTTAGCTTTTTCTTCAATTTCGCTTCGTCTTGTGTATTAATATACATAGTATATACTACGTACCACGTACTTTAATTTTTTATGTTAAAATAATAATAATAATAATAATAATAATAATAATAATAATAATAATAATAATAATAAATGTAAAGTAAATTTTACATTTTTGAACCATAAAATGGTTTAGGGAATTATATATGAAATGTTAATTACATTAAAAAAATTAATTGATGTCCTTAACAGTCATTTAACGAGTTATCAGTCGATTGTAAACAGTCGTTTAACCAAACACGATTTTACAAACTGCTAATACTATCAGCTAATCAAAATAGCCAACAGAATCCGTTGTTATCAATAAGCCAACAAAATCAGCCAACAAAATCAACCAACAGCTAACAGCTAACGGCCAATTGCCAAACACCCCATTTGAGGGTAGGAGTTCAGATTCTTAATTGTTACATACTTGGTATATATTCAAAATTGATTATCGTTTTTACCCATTTTCTGAATATAATCACATCTTATGGAAATAGTTTTAGCCAAACTGTTATCTTTGAGCGTTTCTCAATCACTCAATGTGTATCCTCATTCCAGAGTTAGACTTTTAAGCCATTTTCAGGAGCTTATCAGCTCTCTCGAATAACAATAAATGGTTTAGCTTGTGCAGTAAAAGCTATACTTTTGAACCTTACTCCGTATTTACATGGAAGCTAGTTTACTAAATCACCTGGAATCTAGTTTCAATTTATTGAAGCTGAAATTTTGAAACGAAAGGCCAACGTACAGCGCAGAATTCAAAACCAACTATTTTACTTTTTATAATGTCTTTACCAGGCAGTAAAAGTTATTCTCCTTAGTTGGATTTTCCTTCATATTTAGGCTATTGTTAGATGTTTTAAGGTATTCTCAGTATGTCATTAGCTATTGCTATTACTACATGGTTCAAATAAATTCAGTTTCATATAGGCTATTATTATTATTTGGAAGCTATAAAAATGGCTATATATGTTTCTCATTACCTTTTTATTCATAGAAATTGTCCTGGATACTGGATAGGAGTAAAAACGTTTTTGAAATTCCAAAATAAGACCGTAATGTTTTTATACACTAAATAAGAGTAATTTCTGCCAAGTTAAAAAAAACTGACATGTTTAAAGCGTGGTAATGCCAAACTTGGCAAAAATTACTCCTATTTAAGGATTATATACATGCCAGTTCTATTTTGGAATTTTAAAACTTTTTTACTCCTATTTAGAGAATTTTCCCTTTTATTTAGTAGCTATATTAGTTTATCGTTTGCCATTCCTATAATCTAAAATGCGTTGTAAATAGCTATTTATGTTTCTCATTACCTTTTTATTTAGAAGCTATATCATTTTCTCATTAGTGATTCTTATTTAAACTCCAATATTATTTAGTTCTCAATTAAGCTTAGGATATAAGCTGTTTTTGATCGTTCTCTCTACCAATTTTTTGTTTGATGTGCATACTTAAAAAATAACTATTTATTTCTCCTTACTTTATTACACAATTCACTATGAAAAGATTTCTTATTCTTTTCAAATATCTTCTCTGTGGGATGAGATACATTTTTTGTTCTCTTTTTAATTTAGTAAGGGATACCGGAATTTCAGTACAGTAATGGTAAGGTTTTCCGACATATTGAGATTTTCAGTATGGTATTTGGTATATGCAAAAAAATCGGCATACCATACCAGACCACTCATAGTGACTAGTAATTACTTGATGTGATACAATGACGTGTATTGTGAGTGATTATATGTTTGATGCACAAGTGTAATGAAAGGTACATTTAGGTGTATTGGAAAGGAGGGATGAGGAAGATGTGAACCAGAAAAAGATACACACCGGTGATGGAGATGGAGAAGGAAGTATTTAAGTCTAACAATTTGAATTGAGAAATGATCGAGCGTGTGTTAAAAAAAGAGATAGAAATAAATTTTAGCCCTCATTAATATATTTGAAGCAATTTTTTTGTGGAAATTTGAGTTGGAGTCATATCAACGGTACTAGTAATATTAGTGCCATTTTTTGAACCCATTGGTATACCATCGGCGGCGGCAATGCTATTGTCCTGGCGCTGCAGCGCGTATATTGTGTTGTATTAATACGAGGACATATTTATTTGTACACATAATTTGTCTCTTTTTCCAAATAGAAAACTAATTCTATTTTTGTGATGAAAGCAATGTTCTAAAAAGCGTAAGGCGTGGCGAGGCGGGACGATCAAGCCCGAAGCCTTTGAAGCCTAGACGGGTTTAGGCGAGACCTAGGCGTGAAAAGGCGTTTTAGTTTTTTACTATTATTTTAATTTTTTTACTCATTTCATATGTATATGCACTAATATTACTTACAAAAAATAGAGGACAAAAATATGACTTAATAACTACCGAGTATTATTTATTATAATTGTGTTGAAAGTTACATAGCAATGATCACACATGTAGTCACTGCGATGTAATTTTGAATACATTTATAGTAATTAATAGTTACAAATTTACATTTTTTCCATGATTTTTTTTTACTAGTAATATTTTAGAAAAAAAACCCTTTTTATATTTTAATAGAAATAAATTTTTCAAAAGCACAAATAATAGGTTGATGAAAAAAATAGTTAATAATCCGTAGTAATTTAAAAGAGTTGGTTGATGAAAAAAACACTTGTACTCAGTAAGGATAGTTATAATAATAATTACAAATAAAGAAGATTGCTTTGAATTAGGATATTAGTTTAAAAAAAGTCATTTGCACTTGTATCCCACGCCGGACGAGTTAGCAATGCGGAGTTGGCAATGGAAAGGTGCAACCTTGTATGCGGACTGCGGAGTACTTCGAATTCATTATCCCACACCGGACAAATTGACACTTCCTCCTTCCAAATACTCTATATAATAGACATTCCATGCAACCCCTAATAGCAGCGTGTTGCAATGGCGATTCAAATCCACACCTATGCAAAGCAGGCGCCTTTATGCACGCCTATTGGGTAGGCGAGGCGTTTGGTTGACGCATCAAGCT